ACCCCCGCCTCCCGCCCCACGGCCCTTTGTGCGTCTGCGCACTCGCACTCCCGCCCTCTCGCTGTGCTCGGCGGAGTCAGTCAGTCCGTCGGAGTCTGTCCTCGGAGCAGGAGGAGCGAAGAGATTTCGAAGAGCCCCTTGTCCTATTATTTTCTTTCCCCTCCCTTTCTCCCGCCCCACATCTCTCTTCACCCCTCTCTCGTCCTTGCGCAGCCATGGCGGACCTGTCGGCGGCCACTCAGTCCCCGTCAGTCTCCTCGTCGTCCTCCGGGACCGAGCCCTCCGCGCCCGGCGGCGCCGGGAGCCCCGGTGCCTGCCCCGCCCTAGGGGCGAAGAGCTGCGGCTCCTCCTGNGGGGAAGGCAGATCACCCTCCCCGCTGGAGGCTGCGGCCCCCGGGGACGGGCGTCTGGAAATGGGCTAAGGGGGAGGGGAGCGTAAGGTCGTGCCGGTGGTGTGGAAATAACGGGGTGTGAGGAAAACAGGTCGGGGGCGGGGAGATATTCTAGAGAGTGGGCGTTAACGCCAAGACCAGGTGGGGAAAAACACCAGATCCCGGAGCAGCCCACGGAACCGGGCGATTTAGAGGAGGAGGAGGTGCAGAGGATTGGGGCAGGTTGGTCGCCGGAGAAATGATAGGATTTTAAGGGGATGGTTGTGGAAGGGTTGCACTGCAAGTTCGCAGACAGGTGTTGACATAATCAGACATTCATGGTAGTCGTCCAAAAATTTTTTTTTTGGTTGCCGATGCGGAGGACGAGGAAGTTTAGTGGAAACATTGAAGCCGTGTTCTATACCGTTTTTATCTGCCTTTAATTTTCTGTAGCTAGACTCCCCAAATGCCCGATTTTTCTCAGGCTCCGAGGTAGAGGGAGGCGTGATGAGAATAGCTCAGGGAAGATTTGGGAGGGAGCTGCTGATGGTCCAAGATGGATCCGTGGCTGCTTCTGCAACACCGCCTGCTCTTCCCTGCGCGGCGTGGGGGTGGGGACGTTCAGTCAATCGCTTATATTCTAGAAGATAATAAATAGAGTCAGGCCCAGCCATCGTATTTTGATTTCATGCTTTCTGTGGGCTGCTATTGATCGCATTATAACAAAAGGGTGTGTTTACCGCAGAAAAGGGGGAGGGGGAGATATTCAGACAAAGCAGGGGCTGGTGGAACCCCCTTCTTGCATCTCTGTGAAAGACGAGGAGGGAAACTGCAGGCCGCTTTAGTTTCCATTGTATACGCGCCTGCCTGTTGGTGGGAGCTGGCTGGCAAGCTCCCCTACGGCCGAGATCTGCAGTGCAGATGCCTTCTCGAGGAGAAAAAAATGTACCCTGAGCAGGTGGTAGGTTTTAAAGGACCTCAGCCTTCGAAGGAAAAAAAAGATTTTTGTCAAAGGAAGGGCCATAAGCTTGGAAGAGTACAGATAATAACTATTTAGTTACCTTAAAGGATTTTGAGAGATTTTTAAATGCTTCATTGTCTCCTTTGCCAGAATCTTGTGTTGATCATTATAAAGAACTTAACATATCTGATCCTAGCTTTAAGTATATTCTTTACGTGTTTTTTGAGCATAAGAGTTTTGGTACCCTGTTGGATTTTTCAGTGTGGTTATGACCACTTCAGTATTAACAGAAGAGGAAGCTTCTGCAAGGTCAAGATTAGCTGTCCAGATACAGTAATGAGGCAGCAAATTTAGAACCCTTGTTTTCTTTAAACCACCAGCGTTTCTCCTCCCAATTTTTGTGTTCTCGGAAAAGGTCCAGGTGAACAGCAGCTTTCCTATAACTTAGCAACTTGGTGTTTTGGCTAATAACTTGTCATTGCTTACTGTTTCCGTTACTGGCCCTTTTGTGCATATCTTTTGATTTTTCTTGATTTAAAATTTTTTATTCACCTAAAAAATAAACTCGATAGATTCCCTGTCTTAAACTCTTATCCACTGAAAATGTGTATTAATAATGTAAAAATCATTAATACGGTTTTGGTGGGCCCAATGTAAGATCCTCATTTGTCAAGACACTACGTGAAGAGTTTAGCTTAAGAGATACTGTCATGTATAGTCATCATTTCATTGCAGAATGTTTTCTCCATCTCTCAAAGGAAATGTCATAAGCTTCTGCACCATGAAAATAAGATGGACTTTGTTATTCCAAAGTTTAACTCATTTAAAAAGGGTAATGAGAAAAATCTACCTTGATAGTTTAAAAATCTACGTGTGTTGATGTCAACCTTCAGCTTCACGTTATTTCACCAACCTCCTCTTGGTTTTAGGGACTTTGAAAAAGTAAAAGAAGAGTAAAGGACTTGGTGTCCTTTAGGAAATAGTTTTGTCTTGCCTGACCTGTTGAGTAACGATTTTAGAAATTCTTGTTTCTACCTAAATGTAGAGAGTGAGTGACGGCACTCTCTGGTCGGTGCCGTAGGTGCTAGTGCAACCTGCAATGTAGTGTGCTTGGAGGAGGGAGTCAGGGGCCAGGGGCCAGGATTGCCTTCCCAGATTTCTGCCTTTGAAGGAAACTGAAGATTTCAAGGCAGAAACTTGAAGTTGAGGTAAAAGAGATGTACATATTTAGGGTTCTTTTCAGGGTGAGTTGTATTATTGCTATGAAAATCATGATGCCAAAATAAAGTGGCTTTTCTTCTATCTGTCCTAGGAAATTAGCTCAAAGCAAAAACAGCTTGGACAATTTTTTTTTTTTAAATTTATGCTTTAAATCTTTCCTCACTCATGAAACTTAGTTGTTCTGTGTATTTTTTTATGGCATCATTTTCACACTTTGTTCTAACAAGTCAATCAAATGTGGTATATAATTTGTATTTTCCATCTTAACCCTTAAATGAAAAGGACTCTACTTGTTCAACACTAACATTATGTGTATTATATTCATATCAAATTATCAGTGGCACTGTAATATGGTGATAAACACAGACTTGAGTCCCAGAGACATCTAGATTTTAGTTCTCTTATTAATTGTATGACCTAGTGCAATTGTATGACCTAAGCTTCAGCAATGTGCCCTAGACAAATTTGCCTTGCACCCTTAAATCCTAATTTTTATTGAATTACAATATCTAATATTTTATGCATCTCTTTGCGGATTACAAACTTTTGCACGTAGATACAGAACAGCAATTGAATTACAAGTGAGAAATCATAGTCTTTCTCATAATAAAGATCTTAATACCTTTTTCTTTTTAAAAATGAGTTTTTTTCAGCTTTTGACCCCTCACATTAATGTCTTAAAGCTGCAACCCCTTTCACTCAGCTGGTCTGTTAAAGAAGTGGTGGTTGTGGGCAGGGAAAGCCAAGATGTTTTGTAGATGGTTTGGCATGGCATCTATATGCTTAAATATTATTTACAGCATTCTGACCTTAATAAGTGTAGTTATGATATATTATTAAACTCCTATCAGTGAAGCAAGAGTATAGGAGACAGCAAGAATGGCCAGGTCAATATAGTTTACAAAATACCTGTTGATTTGGATGGTTTTTATTCCCTAGGAATAAAAGGTTTCTTATAATGCTGTTTTCTCTTAGGGTCAAATTCACAAGTAATTTAACCACTTTGATAAACAAACCAGTCTATATATATTTAACAGGCATAACTTAACCCAAAATTGAAATCCAGAGCATCAGTGTTTTATTTTAGAGATGATCTGGAAACAAAATAAAACTAATATAATTGCTTTTATTGTATTCTGTGGTGAGGAAATGATATATTCTTCCTGATACAGGAGTCACCTATTTAATCCTGTGTATTTCATGAACTTGTAAATGAAGTTTGGTAGCAAAAGAACTGGTGACATGACTGGTGACATGTCATTGAAGGAAAAGGGAAAGTTAGGGTTTCCAGTTTTGTTTGAGTCGAGGTATTCTGTAGAAAGGCACTTCTTTTTAGACTAGCCATAATCCTAGAATTGATTAACTATGCATATTTATTGTGTGTACTTAGCTTATAGTTTGTGTTCAAACTTATAGTTAGCTTATAATTAATTGTTAATGATGAATTTATAATTGCCTAAACTGTACCGACTTGTGACAGATATGTAAAATTCATAGTAAAACCTTTTAAATAAAAATTACCAAGTTGATACTATGTTCATATAATTAAAACCAATTCAGGAAACTGATTTACCTTTTCTTGTTTATAATAGCTACTAATTCTAGAATTATTTTGGATCATTGGGTGTTATAGATGTTTTAGAAAAGGTGTATATGCTAAATAAGTTTAACCATAATCAGTATTGCTTGTGATTGCATCATTGAAGTCTTTTACTACATGTCTGTGACTTATGTAAAACATGTTACTCTGTGATATTGCAGTTTCACAGAGAATCCCTTTAAATACTGGATAGGATTTGCATTTGTATTTTACATTATTGGGAGGGGCCACTGTCAGGTAGCCCACTCTTGTGGTCTTTTTAAATTGCAAAGAAATATTCTTAATCTGTGTTCTCCCTGTAAAAATTAACTTTTTTTTTCTCCCTGTATGCACATCATCATGACCTAACCAAAAGAGGACATGTGAGCCTTTTGACATGTTTCTCACTGGCAGCTTGCCCTTCAGGGTATATGGAAGGGTAAACCAATACAGGGCTCTTTTTGTCCTGTTACTGGAAAGCATTTCAACGGTGAACATTGTCTTCATTTTATATAGGAAGTAGAGATATTTAATTTTTATATCTTACACTTGTGTATTGCTTTATGGTTTAAGTTGTGCCCATACATTAGCTTAATTTAACAAATATTCAAGCAAACATTTAAGCTCTTTGTTAGTTGTAGTGGGAGATAAGAAAGTAAATAAAACATATCCCTCTAAAGGCTATCTTCAATAGTAGAAAGACTTGTATTATGTTATTTGTGAGGTAGTCAGGTAATGATATAAACCTCATTTTACAGATGAGAAATCAGACTCAGAGATTAAGTGATATGACCAAAGGTTGGTGGCTGTGAAATTGAGGATAGGATAAAACTAAGGGATTGAGGGCCCAGTGCAGTTCTCTTTCAAATATACACACTTCTCTTTAAAATTTGAAATGTGATAGAAGTGGTTCACTCACCCTCTTGAATTAAGTTATCAGTTTTAACTTTGAGTTAATTTCTGGTCCCATGGTTTCTAAGCCAGGTGTGTTTTTTATTCCACTGTTCTACAGAAACTTCTCGTCAGGTTCACCAGTTATTTTCCACATTGTTAAATCCAGTGGTCACTTCTCAGCCCTCATCTTAAATGTTCTTTCAACAGCTTTTGATAAAATCTTTGAAATACCTTTTTCAATTTGTCATTCATGATACCACACACACTCTAACTAGCTGCTCCTCCAGTGTCTCCTTTGCTAGTTTTTTTTTTTTGATACATAATTC